GCGCCGCCCGCGGCGGCGGCGGCGGTGGTGGCCGCTGCCGCGGCGCCGCTGCCCACGAGCGGCCACAGAAACTCCTCGATCTGGCTCATGCTGGCCAGCGGCTCTATGAGCACCATGTTGGCGGAATAGTCGCGCAGGCCGGGCTCGTCGCCGGCGCGGCTCAGCCGCATCTTCAGCGGGCTGCTCAGCGCCGACAGGCCCGCCGTCAGGCTGCCGCTGGCGGCGGCGGCGCCGCCGCCTGCGGTGGCAGCAGCAGCAGCAGAAGGCCAGGGGGAGCAGATGCATCAGGCGTGGCAGCAGGCAGGCAGGCAAGCAGGCAGGCAGGCAGGCAGGCAGGCAGGAGGCCGGCCAGCGAACCCCCAAGCAGGCAGGCAGGTCCGCTCATCAAGCAGCAGGCGTGGCCCCGAGGCAGGCCGCCTCCCAGGCGCGCCCAGCTGCTCACGTGCTCCCCCGCCGCCGCCTGCGGAACGGTAGTACACGCCGCCGTACACGGATCCCAGGGAGGGGGGCGTGGTGATGGGGTTGAGCTGTACCGCAAACTTCTCGCTGGCCGCCAGCGCGCCCAGCAGCTTGCCCACCAGCAGGCCCAGCGGCGGCTCGCTGCCGCTGCCGGGGGGCACCGCCGCGGCTGCGGGGGCAGGGGAGGGGCAGGGGAGGCGTGGCATCGAGTCGCTGCCCGGAAGCAACACCAAGCGGGGGGCTAGCATGCAAGCGGGTGTGCTATGCAAGAGGTGCGGGCATGCGGCGGGCACGGCGTGCAGAGGGATATGCGCGGGGGGCGGTCAGAAAGACTAATCATGAGTTCACGGGGGCCGCAGCACCGCGGAGGGCGCGCGGCCGTCACAAATCGCTTTTGGTTGGACATCATCCCGCCTCGCGCCATGCGGCAACAGCAGAGCGTGCATGCGGCCGGCGGCGGCGGCGGCGGCGGCGCGGGCAGGGGGCGGCGGCGCGGCGGCGGCCCCGAGGGCCCGCCCTTGGGCCCTTCACCCCACCTGCGAACTCGCCCAGGCGCTGCAGCAGCAGGTGCTGCCTGTCTGGCGTGTCTGCCAGGTCAGCGCCCTGCAGGTACCGCCGCAGCGCCGCCACCGCGCCGCTGTTGAGCAGCTCAAAGGTGGAGATGGCGCTGTTGCCGGTGCCCGCCAGCGCGCCCAGCACCGCCGCCACGGACCCCGCCTCGGG